CCGGGCAGATAGAGTTCTGCACTGCTCATATTTTGGAAAAAGCTAGTTGGATGCAAGAAATTCACAATAACTTTAGTGCTTCAAAATCTTTTTCATGGGAGTCCTGGCTTCTTTCTATACTGGTTCCTATTCTCATTCCACTACTGATCATATTTTTGTGTTTGTTTCGTCCATATCTGTTAAATATCTTTGCCAGATTCCTTTCTTCTAGGGTTGGAGCCATCAACTTTCAGAGGATTCTAGCCTGCTGAACCTGGCATCAGCCAGGTTTTCACGTTTGACCCCTCAAACAGGACCCAGAGAGGCAGGGACAGCTCTACACCCTTTGCCAGCAGGAAGCAGTTTCAGAAGTTGAGACCTTCACCCCTTTCCCCAAAAGAATTTGGGCCAAATTTGTTTGAGGGGGGAATGATGGGGTATGGCCCAAGCCGAGGTCTTGCCCCTTGCCCCTTGCCCCAAAGGCAATCTGGCTCCCCTTGTCTACAGGCCCCAGCCCCTCATCTCCCTTTGAAGGCCTTAGCCTACCTTTTAATCTCATTCAGATGCCTTTCAGTTCCTTCATTATCTATTCCCATTGTCTATTCAATCTCTTAGACATTGCAATCTCTGGGAATTCACACCCAGACCCTTTCCCCAGACCATTTTCCCAGACCCTTCTCTGGTCACCCAAAGTACATAAGATCTACCCCGGCCCTCATTCAGGGCTGAGAATCTCAGGCCCACAAGGCTGAGAACCTCTCATGCCCGCTCATCCTTACGGGCATCACCTGGCCTATGTGTTTTATCACTAATAAACTTTTCCTCTGGCTGAAGAAGATTTGAGCTGAAATCTTTCAGGCAGGGCCCGGTACTGTGATCTTGGGGTTCCACCAGCACCTCAAAGTCCTAGACCTCTTCAGGTCCACCTTAAAAAAGGATTATAATACCAGCAGAAGAGGGAGCTTGAAACTGAAAAACTTCTGTACAGACAAGGGAAGTGGTCACATGGGGAAAGAATCTTTGTGTCAAATTTCTCTGATAATGGTTTGCTATCTAAATATGTAAGCAATATATATGCACGAACATATACATATGACCAATAGCCATTCCCCAATTTAAAAAATGGTCAAGGGATATGAACAAACTGTTCTCAAAAGAACTGCCAAGTCTGCAAATAAAGTGATTAAAATGTCTATACCCTTTGAACCAAAGATTCCATTACTGGGCTTATACCCTAAGGGAGCCATTGATGATGGAAAAGTCCTCATATACTCCAAAATATTTTATGGCAGCATTTTTTGTGATAGCAAAGAATGGGAAACAAAGTAGATGCCCACCACTTGGGGCATGGTTAAACAAATTGTGGTACACAAATAAAATGGAATACTACTGTGCTATAGGACATGATGTATATGATGAATGCAAAGAAGCATGTAAAGAGCTATATGAGCTGATGAATAGTGAAATAAGCAGAACTAAAAATAATAATAATACATAGTAACTATAATAATATAAACAGAAAGACACACCAAAAAACCCCCCAAAAGTAAATATAACAAAATTATGAAGCTAAATGGGACTCAAATGAAGAGATGTGAGAAGATACCTTCAAACCACTCCTTTGAGGAGGTGGAAGGTCCACAGGTATTACACATTGCATATGTTTTCACATTTTTTCAATGTATTGGTCACTTGTGCTGATTTTTTTCCTCTCCAAAAAAAATAATATTTGTCTTATGGGATGACTCTCTGGGAAGGAGAGGAGGACAGATACATGAGACCCCATGGTGATGTAAGAAAAAGAAAATATGAATTAAAACTCATTTAAAAATGAAAGAAATTAACCTATAAGTTCATGCCTACTCACCGTAATGACTAAGATTTGAAAGATGGAGCTAACTATTCTTTTTCTCATTTTCCGTGGCTAGATGTATCACCTGAACAGGCCAATGTGAGTCTGAAATCAGGTATTTTTAAATTCAAAGTCGAATCACAGATCTATGGAATTTCACATCTGGAAGGGATTTCTTCATTTTACAGGTAAGGAAACAGGCCCAGCGAGAGGAAAGACTTGCTAAAGAGCACTCAGCTCATGAACAGGTTGGCCTAGAACCCAGGTCTCCTGACCCTATTCAGGACTCTTTCACTGCATTAGGTTGTCATCTCCCTGTGACCCTCTTCCAGGCCTTTTTTCTTACTTTACCTCTTTTCTTACTTTGCTTTCTTCCCTTCTCAGTTTTGACCTTGTAGTTAAGTAATGCAATGTTGCACGGTCCTCTAGGTCTAAACCTTTGCCCCTCTGTCCTAATAACACTCGTGACTTATTAAATCTCAGCTGTCCACTACCCCCCACCTCCACTGCTCTACATATTCTACCGGTGGTGACTTGGCTCCACTACACATTCATGTTCTCTAATATCAACTGAATCCTCGTGGAAATAAAGCAATCCTTTCACCTCTCTCTAACTGATTTTCTATGCACTCCCCACTGCAGCCATTCTAAATCACAAACCTCTCACGCCAACTTTCAGCAGAGGATTTCCTCTCATGTTTTATGGAGAAAATGAAGGTCCTTCACTTTGAGCTCCTTCTTCTCCCCTGCACTATATCTCAAAACCTTTTGATATCATCCCTCATTCTCTCCTTTATTCTTTCTGCTGGATAAAGCCAATCCCTCTTATTGTCTCCTTAATCCTACCCTTTCCTGTATCCTCCAGGGAAAATTCCCATCAAGATTATCCCTTCTCTCTCTCTGCCTCTCTGTGTCTCTGTGTCTCTGTCTCTGTCTGTCTCTCTCATCTTTGATTTCTCACTATTTACTAGTTCCTTCCCAGTTGCTTACAAACACACTCAAGTCTAGTCCACCCTTAAAACCCTCACTTGACCCTATCATCTTCCCAAGCTAAGATCCTACATCACTCCTCCCTTTCTTTGCTAAACTAGAAAAAGCTGTATACTTCTATTGCCCCTACTTCTTCTCCTCTTACTTACTTTTCATTGTTTTGAAGTTCATTTTCCAATTTCATAACTCAACTCAAACTGCTCTGTCAAAGATTCCAATGATTTCTTTTTTTCCCCCAAGTGATTTCTTAATTGCCAAAGTTTTCGGCCTTTTTTCGGTCCTTACCCTTTTTTTTAGCATCTCTACAGCGCTTCACACTGTAGATCCCTTTCTCCTCCTATACACTCTCTTATCTTTTAATTTTCATGATGTTGCTCTCTTTTAGTTCTCATTCTCTTTTGTGACATATTCATTTGTAGGATTTCCCCTAATTTTAGGTGTCCCACATGGTTCTGTACTGGATTCTTTTCTCTCTATTTTCTCTTGGTGATTACACCTACTTTTATGGGATAGCTCTCAAATCTATATATCCAGCTCTCATCACCCCCCCCATCTTACATCACCCACTACCTATAGACAATTCAAATGATATGACCTGGAGACATCTAAAATTCACCTTGCCCAAAGCAGAACTTACTTTCCCCCCCAGAACTCACTTCTCTTCCCATCTCTATTTCTGTGAAAAATATTGCCTTCTTTTCTTTTTTAAAAATATTATTTATTTAATTTTTAACATTCTTTTTAAAATTTTTGATTTAATATTTTATTTTCCCCCAATCACATGTAAAAACAATTTAAACATTTTTTTCAAATTTTGAGTTCCAAATTCTTTCCCTCTCCTTCCCTCTTATTGAGAAAGCAAGCAATTTGATAGATGTGTAGTTATGCAAAACATGTAAGTCATGTGGTGACAGAAAACACAAACCCAGAAACCCAAAAAAAGAAAGTAAAACAAAAAAATGCTTTAATCTGCATTTAGACTCTGTCATCTTTTCATAACCCCAGTTCGAAGATTTTGATCTCAATATCTCACTCTTGCCCCCCAATTCCAAACAGTTGCCATGTCTTGTTGATTTTACCTCCACAACATCTCTTTTTCCATTCCATTCTCTCCACTCACACAAGCTCCAGTCCTCTTGCTAAAATAGCTCATAATTAGTCTCCCTGCTTCCAGTTCCTCCCCTCTCCAATCCATCATCCACAAGGCTGCAAAAGTGATATTTCTCATCAATAGGTCTAAGCATCACTTTCCTGCTCAGAAAAAAATTTCTTTTTCTTTCTTTTCCTTTCCTTTTTTTTTTAAGCATTTATACCCTTTCACAATTTGGCTCATACTTACCTTTCCAGACTTATTATACATGATTGCTATTAACACACTCTTTAGTTCAGTCAAACTGACCTACAGGTTTTATTCACATATGATACGCTACCACCCATCTCTATGATGGAAGGCACTCCTTCCCCTCAGGTTCCTAGAACCCCTGGCCTTATTCAAAAACTGAAGCACAAAAGCCTTCCCTATCTTCCCTCTCATCCTAAACTACTAGCTACCTTCTCAAAATTAATTTGTACTTATTTTGTATATATTTAGGTGTGGAATGTTGTTCCACCATAATATGTATGTTTCTTGAGGGCAAGGAATGTTTTAATTTTGTTTTTGTATCCTCAATGCTTAACACATAGAACATGCTAATAAATACATGTTGGTTTAATGACACACTCAAAAAAAATTTGTTTCTTTGCATTAAATGATGTGGGAACAGAAATGTATTATTTGAAGCCCTCATGTACACAGTTTTCAATAAAATGATAATAGAGAGAAATCAGAGAGTGTGGAATGTAATTAGCTAGTTAGCCAATCCTGTTTGGCTCAAGCAATTAATATAGTTTCAACTTAATCTATCAATTTTTTATTCCTTAGTAAAAACCTGAAAAGATGTTGAATTCTACCCTTTAACTGCTTATTTAAGAAAAACTTCTAATTGATACTTGGTATAATGTCCAAGTTTGAGTTAGAGTCAAGTCAAACCCTCAGGGAAAGTCTAGTACCAGAAAGTTTAAAAGAGAAACAAATCACAAGATTTCAGATGTCCTTTGCTTACTTGTGAGAGCCCAGATGATTGTGGCCAGTAGTATTTGCTACCTCTATGGTATGTCTAGTACCCAGGCAGTAACTCACCATCCATCATATGCCCACAGTCCATTATAAAATGCCAGACTGATGGAACCCACAGAGATACTGGCATCCTCAAAGGAATTTTCAAAATTTTTCGTTTTCCCTAAAATAAAAACATGGATGCCATAGGTATTGAGAGATGAAATTAATAATTCCACCCCCATTTTTCACTTGAAAGAAGTATCTGAACAGTGATTTCAGATTATAAAACACATACTTTGACAATAAAATGAGAGGCTAAAGATTCTTATGAACTAATCTACTAGATTTATTTCTTACATTTTCCCATCTCTGTATAAAATGAAAAAATTATACCCTAAGAACACTTAAAGCAATTCCACCAACAAACTCGATACTGATATTTACCATATTAAGACAATTAGGACCTGTCCATAAGAGGAAGTTGTCCCAATTCCTTAGAAATAATTATAATTCAACAAACACTTAAGTGTCTACCATATGCAAGGCAATACTAAGACAGGAGGTTAGTAGCAGGTAAAGAACTGGTGTTAGAGTCAGGAGGACCTGAGTTCAAGTCCTCTCTCTAACACATACTGACTGGGTAACTGAGCAAATCACAACCTTTTAGTGCCCTAAGCAATTCTCTATGACTATAAATTGCTGAGCAGTTTAACTGCTCCCCCACTTCTTCCACTGAGCCCCTCAAAACTTTAGAAGGTATTATGCTACCAACTAGAGATACAAAGAAAAAAAAAGGCCTTGACCTCAAAGAGTTCACAGAGAGCCCAGCAATGGGAAAGACAGAAATGAGATTTACCTTGGGCAAGAAGCACAATTCCACTAATAATAATAATGGCGACAATCACCAGCTTGGCTGCCGTGAAAAAGTTCTGTACATAGCTCCCGAGCTTCACACTCAGGGAATTCACTGTTGTGATAACCACTGCAAGGAAAGTCAGACATAGGAAAGGAGTTTTATAGTCTAGATTTTTCAAAATCCTTGATCTAATGCCAACATGCAGAAAATGCTTTGGGAAGATTCTGGAAGAATTCTCTGATGCTCATTCTTAGGTATATCCTATGTAATTATCTATTGGATTTCAAGAGAAATACATACATATATACATATATATATGTATGTACAAATATATTTTTATTATGTATATTTATATATAAAAGATCGGTTAGAGAACATTTTAAACACCTGTAATTGTTTTAAACATTTGTGATTTTAAAAATCAGTCCATGGCTTAGACATCCATCCAATGGAAGTATAACAAGGTGCATGGTCTAGTGAAACAGGAGGAAAGGTCTCTTGGCCAGCAGTCTAATGTGAATGAAACCCTCAGCCTAAAGTGTGTAAAGAAGAACCAAAGCCCTGTCTAAGCTCCATCTATTATATCATTCAGCCTCTTCCCCAGTACAATAGCCAGTCTCTGGCCCACTCAGATGCTATGATGGGGAAGTAACAAAGAGGCCAGTGATCCCAAGCCTAGATTTCCTCAGGAAAAGCATTATGCGCTGTATTATAGCCATTTTGTCCTGGGAAACACTCAGATGCCAGAGGGCTCTGGAGTTCATTATTCATGTTCTCAGACAGGTATACCTGCATAGTAATAGAGGAAACTTACTGATGACTGCTGCTGCAAGACACTTGACAACGAGTTGTGGAGGCTTACAGTTGCCGTAGAAGGGGACAGCCACGTATTCAGCAAAGCTGAGACAAATAATGGCAAATGAAGAGGGTTTGGTGACAATCAAACTGGTCCAAGAAAAGAGGTAGGCAGGTATAGGGCCAAAGGCTTCCATCAGGTAGGGATATTCACCTCCTGATTTGGTGATCATTGTGCCAAGTTCAGCAAAACACAGAGCACCTGAAGAATAAATACAGAAAATGAAACAACCCCTATTTGCAAGGAGCATATGTCTTAATGGAACATACGTAGCATAAAATATGCATAGTGTAAATATAAAGCACAAATATATGCAAAGAAGATAAATACAAGGTAGTTTGAGAGGGAAGGCACTGTAATTAAGGAGATCAGGAAAGACTTTATGGAGAAGGTGATGCTTAAGCTTCATTTTATTTTATTTTTTCTTCTTCCTTTTTTTTTTTTTGGCTAGGCAATGGGGTTAAGTGACTTGCCCAGGGTCACACAGCTAGTAAGTATCAAATGTCTGAGGGTGGATTTTAACTCAGGTCCTCCTGACCCCAAGGCTGGAGCTCTATCTACTGTGCCACTTAGCTGCTCCTAAGCTTCATTTTAAAGGTAGAAATGCAGTCTATGAAGCAGGGGTAAGGAAAGAATGCATTCCAGGCACGTGGAATAGCCAGTCTAAAGACACAACCAAGATGGTAGATGGTGTGCCATCTGCAAGGAATAGCAGAAGACCTGTTTGGCTGGATGGCAGGGTAGGAAAGAAGGAATGGCTAATGAAACTAAAAAGACAGGTTGAGGCCAGGTTTTAAAAGCTAAACAGAGGAGTTTATTATATTGGGGTTGAGTAAAGGAGTCATACAGTCAGATCTACGTTTAAGAAAAATTATTTTGGCAGCATTGTGTAGGTAGGACTAGAGTGGGGACAGCCTTGAGACAGAGAGACCAAAGAGAAGTGAACATGTCTTTGAAAGGAGGCCAGGCCAGTAGAGCCCCCAATTTGGATGGAGTCACAAATATTAAATCCTTCAGCATCCAGAGTTCTTTGGTGATTTACCCCTGAGTAGAGTCCAAACTCCCCTGGTGCACCAGTGACTCCTCTTTCTTATTCTTGGCTGGAGAATTCTGGCTAGTTGGGACCAGCTCTGCTGCCCCTGACCTCCTTTCCCTATCCTGGATTTCCTCACTGCTCCCTTCTCCCTCCTTGGGCATCATATGAGTCCCTCTCTGCTCTCCCAGCTCTGTATAGCCCCTGGATTAGGGTAATAGTTATGGAAAAATGTTTCAAATACTCTGGCAATTTTGTCCAAAGAGTTGGAATGGGGCCAGCAAATCCAGTGATGGTAAATCTCTCCAGGAAGTTTTCAGAGGTCGTGCACTTCAGCCTCTTCTGTAGGGAAGCTTCTCCTCTTAGTAACTGCTTGAGGACTCTTTGGCATAGTGGAAAGATCACTAGACTTGAAGTCAGAAGACCTGAAGACCTGAGTGCAATCTAAGCTCTGACAATTACTAGTTCTGGGACAATGGACAAGTCCCCATGATCTCTCTGAACATCAGTTTCTCTACTTGTAAAATGGTGCAAATAATATAATACCTACCTCAAAGGGTTGTTTTTAAATTGAGGAAAGCATTTTGTAACCCTAATGCACTAAGTAAATCATTATTAGAACAGAAAAGATGACCACAGAACTAAGTGTCCAAGAATTAAAAGTATTAATGACATGGCTGAGCCTACTGACTAGCATTTGAAAAAGGAAGATATGATATTCCCTAAAAAACAGTCTATTTCCTAATGCAGTATTGATGGTTCTTATGGTGGCTTTCTCCTCCTGTGACTGTGTATTCATTTATGAGCCGAAAGCTACCAGTACATCACAAATACCCATTCTCTTCTGACCACATACCCATTCTTAGATCTTTCCTGTTTGAGAGTTCACATGTTTTACATTATTGTTTCACCTATTGATTTACAAAAGTCCCCATCACCAATTTAGCTAACTTGGAGAGTCCTCAAAGGTAGGTTGTCAGCAGCAAGAGAGACAATACAGAATGAGGTTAACACAATGCAACTTCATGTACTTAAAATTGAAATGTCTTAAGTACCACACAGGTAACAATTTGGATGTTTTGTTTGTTTTTTTACCTAATGTAGCAACAATCCCACAGGTCGACCATATGATCAAACAAGGTCCCACAGCATTGACGTTGCTAAGTACAGATTTGGGTGAAACGAAGATTCCTGAGCCAATTACGGTGCCAACAATGATACAAATTCCACTAATCAGGCCCACCTTGAATTGAGAAGGAGAAAAATAACTGTTAGGTACGCTGAAGTGATTTTGGCAGGAAAAGCTTCGTAGAAAGACAACAAAAGAGAAACCAGGATCATGAATCCAGGCAGAATCCCAGAGCTGAATGAGACCATAGTGGTTGCCCACTCATCCTGGTATTTACCCTGCCAGATTCTCCCCACCAGAAACAGCAGTCTCTTAAACCAGACCTCCAGAGACCCTGACCCTGAACCCAAAGGGAACTAGTTCACTCGGCTTTAGAACTCCACCAAGGCAGCACTACTCTATATTAGAGGGCAAGTAAATCAATCTTTACCTCAACTCTCTAGGTCTAACCATGCAGCCATCTACCAGAGTACCAGTTGGTCAAGAAGAATTTATTAAGCACCTACTTTGTGCCAGGGACCATGCTAAGTTCTGGACCAGGCCCTAGCCAGCACAGACATCTTGTTATTTATCCAGTCCTCTGATGGCAGCCCTTCCATCTCTACCTTGACTCATCCTTTTTCCCTCTCTTACTCAGAAAACAATAATAAAATCCATCTTACCATTGTGACTAGAAGACGTGTGAAAATCCACTATGATATAGTTCTACTCAAACCCTGTGACTGCCTTGACTGAAGCGCCCTTCCACGGCCACTACTCTCTAAAGACATCTTGTATTCCTATAAAAATAGAAGTTCCTTAAGGGAAGGGATGGTCTCATGTGTACCATCCCCTAGCCCAGTGTTTGACACAAAGTAGGTACTTAATAAAAGCTGATTGATAGTTCAGCTAATGCCTAAGCAGGAATCACTTCTTTTTTTAAATAATATTTTATTTTTTCCCAAATACATGTAGAAACAATTTTTAACATTCATTAAAAAAATTTTGAGTTCCAAATTCTCTCCCTTCTTCCTAATCCCCCTCATTGAGAAGGCAAGCAATTTGATATAGGTTATACATGTGCAATCATGCAAAACATATTTGCATGTTAGTCATATTGTGAAAGAAAACATAGACCAAAAAACAAACCCATAAAGTAAAAAATAGTATGCTTTGATATGCATTCAGATTCCACTGTTTTTTTTTTTTCTCTGAAGTGGACAGCATTTTTTCTTATGAGTCTTTTGGCCCTGTCTTGGATCATTGTATTGATGAGAATAGCTAAGTCATTCACAATTGACCATTTTACAATTTTGCTCTTACTATGTACTGTTCTCCTGGTTCCACTCACTTCTCTTTGCATCAGTTCATGTAAGTCTTTCCAGGTTTTTCTAAACCCTCCTGATCATCTTTTCTTATGGCACAATAATATTCCATTACAATCATATACCACTTGTTCAGCCATTCCCCAATTGATAGACATCCCTTTAATTGCAGGAATCATTTCTATAGCATCCTTCATACTTGGTCATCCAGCCTTGCAACTGACTTGTAGTAAGGAGGAACCCACTACTGGGGAAACATTCTACTTTTGGACAACTTGAATTACTATTAACTTTTTCTCTCACTCATTCTTCTTCTCTCAAATACAGCCTTCACATTTCAAATCAAAAGCTTCTTTTCAAGTCCATGAAAGGACAAAAGAGGGACAATTTAGTCTGTGCCTACAATGTTTTTGTATTTCACACTTCATGGCAGATACTTAACAAAATAAGATTAATTATACTAATAATAATAGCTCCCATTTCTACAGCACTTTTAAACTGACAAAATGTTTTCCTCAAAACAATCCTATAGGGTGCAGCTAAGTAGTGCAGTGGATAGAGCACTGGCCCTGGATTCAGCAGGACTTGAGTTCAAATGCGACCTCAGACACATAACACTTACTAGCTGTGTGACTCTGGGCAAGTCACTTAACCCCATTGCTTAGCCAAAAAAACAAAACAATCCTGTGAAGTAGACAGAAAAAGTATGATTATCATGATTTTCCAAAAAAGAAATTTGAGTTTTAGAGCAAGGGAGAGACTTTCACATAGAGTTAGAAAATTTCCAAGCAGAGATTTGAACCCACTTTTCCCGACTCCATGTATTGTGCTCTTTCTTATTTGCACTGCCTGACTTATAAGTGATGGTTTATAAAAAGATCCTTTAATACTTCAAGGATCGGTCATTTCTTTGGAGTGAGTAGTGTCCCCACTAATGCAGACTGCAAGCCCTTTATTACTTAGTAGCTAGTCTTCAGGAATTCCTGTGGCCTCCACTAAAGTTCTTCTCTGACCTGGGGCTTTCAAAGGCTGTGCCAGCAGAATATGAGTCCTTGTAGATGCTACCAAGCTGTACAGTTTAAGGGCCAGATTATGCTCAAAGGAGCTGATCATCTGGAACTAATTTTTAAGCCACAGAAATAAAATTAAGTGAAATAGCTGTAACTATTCCTATCTACTTCTTTGCCACAGGGTAGAGTGGCATTGTATTACTTCATTAGACCAAGACGAAAAGAAAAGAAAAGGATAATACTGAGAGCTGTGTTTGGGTTTACATCAGAGGGACATAAACTTGGGTTATTGATGACATATTTGGGGAGTTAAGAGTTAACTGAAGACTGGGGTTGATGAACTTATTTTTGGTGATGTTTTTAATACGTGTTTTGGTAACTTTTTCATATAACTGACTTCCTTTCTAATTTTATTTTGTGTATTTATCTGAGAAGAGGTCTTTGGGCTTCATTAGACAGGCAAAGAGATCTGAGGCACAAAAAAGGTTAAGAACTCCTGCTTTAGGGGCTTTGCAAGAAATAAGGTACCTAGAATACAATTTAGGTCATGCAAACACTGGTGACACTGACCCAAGAATATTTCCCATGACCAAAACCAACAAATTATACTCTTCCATAGACTGATAGCAGCTGAAATTTGAAGGGTAGGCACAAAGGGGATCTATATATATATATTCCCGGTGGTTGTGCTGATTGAGCTATGAATGTCAACAGGGAGAAGGTAGGAAATGAGCTATCTGACATTTTTAACAATGACCTGGATAAAGGCATCAATAGCATGTTCATCATATTTGCAGATGACAGAAGGCTGGGAAGGATAAATAACACCCTGGTTGTCAGGATCAAAAACCATTTTAGGACTACTGGATTAGAAATTTAGAGCTGGAAAGGACCTTTGTAGTCATTTAGCCCAACCCCCTTCATTTTACAGATAAGGAAGCTGAGGTCCTGAGAAGTTAAGTTATTTTCCCAATAATAAACTTGACAGGCTGGACTGACATTTGACTGAAACTAATAAATTAAATTTAATAAGGAAAAATATAGTACCTTGCACTTAGGTTTAAAAAAATCAACTTTATAGGTACAGGACAGGGATGGGGGGGGGACATTTTAGACAGAATTGGACAGAAGTTTGTTTGGAAAGTATTCGGAAATTTTGGTGGACTGCAAACTAATTAAGAGTCAATAGTGTGATTTACCAGGCAAGAAAAGCTAATATGATCTAGTGCTACATTAAGAGAGGTATAGCTCCCAGAAAGGCACAATCCTGCTGTGCTGTTATGGTCAGGACACAGGTGGAGTATTGTGTTCAGTTTTGCATGCCACAGTTTAAGAAGGACATGATAAACTAGAGAGCACTCAGAGAGGGGCTTTGAGACTATGTCATATGAGAATCGGTTGAAAAAACCAGGCACATTTTACAAAAGAGACCGGAAAAGAAAAGATTTCGAATCAGCACCGCTGGGGGCTCCAGCTCTCCAGTCCAGGTTACAGGCAACTAGCTCTATCTGACAATTGGAGGAGGGAAGGAGATCTTCCTGAAACACTTAGTTTAGTCCAAGCTCAGTGTTGTTTCTCTAGTTGACGCTATCAGATTCTCTAGCTTAATTTTGCAAGGACCTTGATTTGCATAAAAGCTGATCTCACTAGAAGCAGGCATTAAAAAAAAAAAGCTTTAAATGCCCTGAATAGCTGCTGAATTGAGTATGTATACATTTCATGCACGATCACTCAGCTCTAACTTCTAAAAAGTGCAGGGCCATCCTTATGGTTCCAAAAGGACATCATTACAATCTCAAGCTGACATAAAAGTGAGTCACTTGAATCCTGTTTCTTTGACACTATGGAACTCTGAGCCACAAAGATAAATTTGTGATGAACCTATTATTAGCTGGGCAATTCTTCATTTCTTAGAGGAATTTAGCTTGCTATTACATACTTAATTTGGGTCATATAACCTCCTGACTGCTGAATCTGCATTCTAGAAATTCATTCTAGAACATCCTGAGGCAGGATTCTTTGGAGAAGGGAGTGACTGGCACTCCCTTTCCAAGGTCTAATCCTGACCAGAAGTAGGTGCCAAATTCATGTACTGGACTCAGGGAGTCAAGGAGGGGAGATGAGGCCATTAGAAAAGGGCAGCCCAGAAAACCAGGAGCCTTGTACATAATTTCCATCTGGGAAATGCCCTGAAGTCTGTGGATGAGACTGAAAGTATTTGGGTTCACATGTTATGGTGGCCACAAGCGTCCTAAAGTAACCCTAGTTCTTCTTTGAGTCTGTCTTTGACATCAGAGTACTCCTAAGTCATTCAGCCATCTGCTCAATTGGAGATGTCACAGCAGTCCTGGAGCTCAGCCCCAGGGCTGCACCGGAACAACCTCTCTCAGGGGCCTCAGGGCAGAATGGCCAAAGTCTGTTGGGACTTCTACCCCAGGGAATTCTTTCTCAAGATTGACTCCTCTCTGCCAGCCTCACCTGATCTCAGCTAGAAAGATTTCAAGTTAGCTTTGAAAAACATGGGACAGTTTTGAAAGTTATTAACCTATACTAAGGAGGGCTAATAGGAACTCAATCTGGGAACTGAGCCAGCTGTTCCAAAGGACCTAAGGCTGACCGTTCCAGCCTCCTGTTGTGGTAAACAGCTCAGACTGCCCTTGAGTCTCAGGGCAGCCTAATAGCACTTAATTACAAGAGCCCTCTCTGATTTCTCTTCTGTCTTTCAAGACAACGCTCTGCAGGCATTTTTTATGGACAACAACAGTGAGAATGAAATGTTTGGAGGCTAATGATAAAAACAAATCTTACTGTATGCCTGCTGCTGTATGCCTTAGTTTACTCACATTCTCCTATTTGATTCTGGAAATAATAACTCTGAGAATTACTTCTCATATGGCGTAATGTAAAAACAGCCGAGCTCAGGAAATTGAGGTACTAATCCAGCTGTTTCTGGCTCTGAGCCAAAGGCTGTTTTATTATACGTCTTAGCTGCTTTTCTCTCCATATCTATTATGGGTCATTCCCAGATGTCTGCTAAGCATGCTAGAAATATTAAAGTCTCTAAGGGGCTAAAAACTGGCTGTTACATTTTCTTTGGAGGAGGAATCTTCAGATTTTGTATTTACTGTCATTATTTTGACTGGGGATTTCCTTGTTTTAGCTCCTGAGCCTTAATACCGGGCTTTCTTTTGTTCTCTCTCAGATTTCCAGACTGACCAGAAGGCCATATCACATTTGCTGTAATCTCTGGCAAGGGAGAGGCACCAGAAGGGAGAGTATTAGTCAATCTGATTGTTTACTGTCAAGCTAGTTATTTCATTAGGGAGATTGCATAACCCCCACTGAACTCCAAAGAGTTGGATTTTTGTCCTCCAATTGCCATCAAACTGTAGGATTCGATAATGCTTCTCAAAAATGGAAGTTAGGTTTTAAAAATCTAGAGTATTGGATCATGGCTTTACTGAGATTTAAGGGACCTTAGTGACTGTATTCAATCCTATAATTTTACCAAGGAGTAAACTGTGTCCAAAGAGTAAAAATGACTTGCCCAAGGTCACACAAGATAGTAGGTGGCAGAGGCAGGATTTTAACTCAGATATTCTAGAATTCAGAGGGATCAAACAAGAAGCCAGCAAAACTCCAAAGGAACCAGATTAAAATGTAATTGGAAAATATTTAACAAAGTAAATAAAAATACAATACCACATAGGTAATGTTAATTTGTGCTTTTCTAAGTCCAAACTAGAGGGATCTGTCTCTATTTAAGCTCTATTTTCTATTCTATTTCTAGACCACTGCAGTCTATTTCAGTACTCTTAACATACAGTTTTCTAAATCCAATTTTATAGGCAACAAGTTTAGAAGAATGAGGCTCATGCTAGAATTCCTCAAACAATTTTTTCTATTTTTGTTTCTTTTCTAGAGTTGCTAATAATCAGGGTAATGAGTCCATTTAGCTTGGCAGGATCTACAGGATGACCTATAGGAAGGGATAAAAGCTAATTGTATGGCTTTACTCAGGGAACAGGATTTGAATGGAAATTTAGAGAATCCCACCACATGTATACATCTCTTTTATTTTGAAAAAATCTTTTCTTGGCCCTGTTCTCCCTCTAACAACCATCCTTTCTCTCTGCTTCCATTCATGATCAAACTTAAATCAGTGTTCTATATCCTCTTCCTCCATTTCCTGTCCATCCATTTCACCTTTGACATTGAAATCTGGCTTCTATCCTTTTCACTCAAATGAAAATGTTCTCTGTTAATTCCACGGTCAAATCTGGTGGTCTCTTACTCTTTCTCCTCTTTCTTTGGTTATTCTATTGTATTTGAAATCGATATTTCCTCCTTAAAAGTCCCTCCCTTGATCTGTGTGACAACACAGCCACATGGCTCCTCCTAGCTCTTGAACCACTCTTTCCCAGTTGTTGTTAATTGCTTTTGTTAATTTCCCTTTCTTCTTGCAATATTTATACTTTTTCCTTTGCATAATTCACGTGCAAGCTTTAACTCTCACACTTTCCAATCAATGCGACCAACTCTCAAATTTGTCTCCAATTCTTTCCCCTCATCTGTATTTCCAACCGCCTAGTGGATGTTGCCACAAGATGTCTTGCTATTATGTCAAAGTACTCATTATTTGAAAATCTCACTACAGTAATACAATTTGGATGTACCATGATGTTTATTGTAGGATTTTCCCTGAACAAGGAACCCTTTACCTCATGCCAATCAAGGACATCTTTTCTAAGAAGCATGGAAACATTATAGGGTAAAGGGTAAAGGAAAGAACGCCAGACCAGGATTCAGAAGATGTAGGTTGAAGCCACACCCCTTCCACTTCCTATCCACATGACCCTAATCTGTAAATAGGGATAGGTAAGCACTGCTTACCTTACAGAGTAATTGTGAGTATCACAGGAAATGATACATGTGTATCTATGATAAAGTGTAAAGCTCTTTGTAGGATAGAAGGAATCATTATTATAATAACTGGTTTTCAATATTGAGAGGAAAATAATGTGCTCTAGTTATAAGAAGAGGAGAGGACCAAAACACTTATGGCACTTTTTAATTAAATATGAAAAAATTAATTAAATATACATTGATGTGATTTTGCCTGCAATTCTTTATATACCAGCTCCTGTCTGTCACAAAGAGAAGGGCACCAATTTTTTAGAAGGAAGAATGACACTCACCTGTTTTTGTAGGTTTGTAGTTTTAGCTTCATTACTCTGGATCGATTGGTCATCCTCTCTTCTTTTTCTTACACTCTTTTCCTCCATTTTAACCTCTCAATAGGTCTTAGGATGATATAAAGAGAACAAAAATAGAATATTCATCAAGTAGATTTGTTTCCTACTGACTACAGTAGGATTAATAGATAAACATGTACAGCATCAAGATTTTCCTCCGTTTTTCAGTCAAATCGAAAATTAGCAATTCTGCTAACATTTTTGAGAATTAAGCTCCAATGAATCCATAGGAAGCTTAATTATCCTAATTAACTCCAAAATTAAAGGATTTACATGTCTTAGGGAAGAACAACTTTCTGTTATTGACAAGTAATCCTGTTAGTTCTAGTAGTGAAACATAACCTGTGAAATGACACAGTTCTGATCTTCACATAATTTAAAATCATCAGTTGCATAAATATTTAGAAACTTATCATTTATGTCTGTCAAGCCAGACCTTCCTGCATGTCAAGATGTTATGAAATCAGCTCAGATTTGCTTCATTTTAGGGGACTCACAACCTTATTGTACCTTACATATCCCTATGGCAAAGTATGCTGCTTTTTAGTGCTGACTTACTGAGAAAGTTTTTGACAACACTTTCAAATTTTGTTCTAAGTGAAAAATAAATACTGCATCTGTATATAGTGCCTGGCAGAAATCCCAACAGCCATGTCATCTGTGCCTTTTATTTTGCACATATTGAGTTCTCAGAAAATGCTCATTGAACACTGATACATCATAGAATAAAAGAATGGTTAAGGGAGACCAGCTGAAAGTTAATTCAATAATGAATTACAGTTAAAAGACAAATTCCCCACTTCCCAAAAGAAACCCCATCTTGATACTTTTGATTGAGTGATTCCATCGTGCACTTACCTTCCTTCTCTCTTTGACCTTACAGATCTAGGAGATGAGCTTTTCCCTTCTTTAAAGAATCACTTACTTGGGAACACCCATGTCTTTTGCTTAGGAGTAGAGGAAGAAGGTACAGAGGTCGTTAAGAGGTAATTATTAAACGAATTTTTCTTCAAGGAAGCTGAGATACACACACACACACACACACACACACACACACACACACACACAAAACAAAGATGTCAGGCTGAGGCAAGATAGCTTCTCTTCCAAAAAATGCCTTTGGTTTTGTTTATGAGTACAAACCAAATTTCTACCAATTTCCACAAATGTCAAGTCACACTAGTGAGGATTTGTTCTAAAGAGTTCTAAAAGTGTTTTTCCAATGTCTAAGAATAAAATTAAGATAAGCATCGCATTCATTACTATATTGTTTTTTAAAAAAGCTCTATTTACAGCTTACCCGTGAGGAGTTCTACAAACATTAACTGCAGCTCATATAACTCATTGGTTAAGAAGATGTTTTGTTCCTTGCCCAAAGCTATTGATTTGCTTTTCAATACGGTTGAATTCCAAGCAGGTGGAATAATGATAGATTTTTTTTCACCTACCATTTCCCACTAGATTTTTTTCTTTTCCGCTCAAAACCAAGAACTTGCAATTTTGCAGATGCATGTTTCTCACAGGAAATTCAGAACAGGTTGTTGGTACTTGCCATTTCTGTCAGATCTCCATCTTCCTTCTTTTCTAGAATTCTGCAAAATGCCAAGGATTCTAGGAAAGTGACTAGGGTTCCAGCGTTTTACTACTAATGATATTGTTTTTATCAAGATCCTAGAAAGGTCCATTTTAGAATCACAGAACAGTTCCTAGAGACCCCTTTCTCCCTCTCAAAGAGAGCTCCACACCTGCGGCACAGCATAAAGTCTCAGAGGAAGTTCAATGAGTGGTTCAACATCCAAGACGACTCAGAAACCAAAGAAAGAGACTCCAGGAGAGGAATGCTTAGAGGAAGAGAAGTGTCCTTTTAGTCTCAGCCTCTTTTACCACTGACTTTTGAATGGGATTTCTGGGAGAACAAGTTAGATAAGATGGCAAAGTATAATTTGGAAGGTCCTGACTAATGTCTAAACATTAATGGTACTTACCTATCAATGATTCTTACTCAGGGAGAAATTTCACTGTGTGAGAGAGACTAAGTTGGGGAACAAAAGGTCACAGAACAAAGAATTTACCTTGAAAATTACCTTGGAGCCAAAACACACACATATCTAAAACTAGGAAGGCTGCCTTTTCTAAACACCAGAATAGGATTTCTTCAAACAAGTTAACATGGTGCATTGTCACAGGGCAATACAATATTCTGCAGAAGAGAACTTTTTTCATGAACTCTAAACTGAAAAATTAAAATGAAAATGAGCTTTATAAAGCACACCTCAGGGACAAAAGATTCCATTTATATTTTGGAAGTTTACTGTTTACACCTGCCTCCATTTGAGTGCTGCCTAGCATGATACCCTCAAATAACCAGCTCCACTGGGAGCCAGAGTATCAGCATGGTATCAATAATTGCTCAAACAGATCTGTGATTTCATCAATGTAGATACTCTCTCCAATGATTCAGTTCACAATCCATTCATGTCTATTGGTCCTGTGTGATTCTTGTCCATGCCCACTCATAAATTTACCCCAGAAGGTTAAGTCAATGTGGGGCTTTCCTTGTTTTCAGATGACATCACAAGGATGTAAGGGGAATCCAATTGGCTGTCTATACATTATTTTTTGCTCTTACCCCATAATCAGCCTATCTACTTTTTCACTCATAAATGTCTCTGATGACATCTTTGACTCTTCATAATTATTTGTAATGGATTACATTCTTCCATGATGCACAGTCATACAACACTGTTGGTAGATATCATTTTATGAAGATGGGTCTTAGTCTTATTAAGAAGTTTAGAGCTATAAAAATAATTTTGCAGCTTCTCAAAGGGAGATCCACCACACTTATAATAATAGCTAGTATTTTGTACAGTTATATATACAGTATTTTATATAGTTTATACAGGTTTGCCAAGTGCTTTACAAATATTATCTCATCTGATCCTCACAACAACCTGGGAGGTATGGGTTACTCTCATCCTTATTTTACAGATGAGGAAACTGAGGCAGACAGAAGTTAAGGGACTTATCCAGAGTCATACAGCTAGTAAGTATCTGAGCTTAGATTTGAACTCAGGTCTTCTTGACTTTAAGTCTAGTAATCTATTGACCACACCACCTAGCTGTCTCATGGTCTTGGAATGGTCTCCTGTTCAATTCTGGGGCCAACTCAATGTCTATTTGAAGTGTCTAAGATATCTATATGTAGATACATGTACAGATATCTATGTACCTATGTACATGGATGAATGAGATGTATGTGTTGTCCTTCTCAGTTCATGTTACAGTTTGAACAATCATAATTCTTTATTCACTTAATTTCTCTTGTGTGGACAATTAGGCCAAACTCTCTTGACTGGTCATGGATCTTGTTCAAGAGCTTCTCCAAAATGACAAGTCTTAATGCAACCAGCTGCATGTCTTCTACAAAAAGGAGACTCTAGAGGACCTTATGATCTATAGGGAGTCCTTCATAGCCCCGGACTCTGCACTGGGAATCTTCTATAATAGTAGTAGCACCTTTGGCAAGTGTCTACCTCTGTTTTATGCCTCATAATATTTATGATCAATGGGTCATCAAATAAGATTACTTCTGCTACACTTTTCAAGGTATATAGATTTGAAGGCATCTTATATAACTAGGACATATGTGTGGGAGAGGTCTTGTTGGAAGAGAGCTCTTAAGGTGATATTTTGCTCAACTAAATACTTTTTTATAGTTAATAAACAGTAAGCACAGTGGGAGCTTGTATTCTCTGAAATTTTCAGTCAACTGTATGATGGTAGAAATATAAATCCTTCATCCTATCTTTCTTATCTTTTTATCTATCGATCGATCAATAGATCTATCTGTCTGATTGACTTTGAAATAACACCTGCAACAAGCATGCATTTCCCTTCTAATACCTTCATTAAGGATACCTTCAATGTAATAATACAGATTATTCTCATAAAAACCTTATACAGATGGGAAAGTACACATGTAAGTTGGTAGCAATTGTTGCTACTCTCTTGGTCATCTTTTGGGGTAGTAATCCAAGATTTTTTCCCATATCTTTTGGTCTCTTTTCCACCTTTATAGATCTTGAGAACTACACCTCAATAGCTCATAATTGTGTCTCCTACTATATAGATTTCCTCTGTGTATCTTTGGTCTAATTCAGATGTGTTTTCCAACAAAACATGTTTGTTCTCTTCAGCATCATTTCTGTCCCCTTTATAAGCATATGTAGAAGTGTTATATTAGAATCTAAGGGTGGTGGTTCCACTGTTCTTGATGGTAAAAAAGGTTTTTCTAAAAAAGGTTTATAGATCTCTTTTTTTAAGGAGCTTTCTAGTTTATTTTAAAAAAGAATTTAATTTTCCAATTCCATGAAAAAAACAATTTTTATTTTTAAAAATTTTGATTTGCAAATTCTTTCCCTCCCTCCCTCCCTCTTCTTCCCTCTCATTGAGAAGGCAATATATATTATATATTAATATAGGTTATACATATATAGTCATGTTGTGAAAGAAAACACAGACCAAAAAAAAAACCCAACCCAAGAAAAACAAATTTAAAAAAAAGTACACTTTGATCTTCATTCAGACTTCATCAGTTCTTTCTCTGGAGGTGGATAGCATTTTTCGTCATAAATCCTTTGGACTTGTCTTAGATCACTGTTATAGAGTCATTTGCAGTTGATCATTGTATAATAATTGCTGTTAGTATGTACACTGTTCTCCTGGTTCTGCTCACTTTACTTTGTATCAGTTAATGTAAGTCTTTCCAGGTCTTTCTGAAAGCGTCCTGCTCATCATTTCTTATAGCACAATAGTATTCCATCACAATTATCTACCACAATTTGTTCAGCCATTCCCCAACTGATGGGCATCCCTTCAATTTCCAGTTCTTTGCCACCACAAAAAGAGCTGCTAGAAATAATTTTTGTACATATAAGTCCTTTTCCCTTTTTTTTTTTTTAAAGAATCTCTTTGGGATATACACCTGGTAGTGGTATTGTTGGATCAAAATATAGTTACAGTTTTACAGCCCTTTGGATGTAGTTACAAATTGCTCTTCAGAATAGTTGGATCAGTTTACAACTTCACCAACAGTGCATTAGTGTCCCAATTTTCCCACATCCCTTCTAACATGTGTCATTTTCTTTTTCTGTCATATTAGTCAATCAGATACATGTGAGATGGTACCTCAGAATTGTTTTAATTTGCATTTTTCTAATCAATGGTGATCTAGACCATTTTTTCACATGACTATAGCTTTGATTTCTTTGGAAACTATCTGTTTATATCCTTTGATCATTTATCACTTGGGGAATGACTCATATTCTTATAAATTTGACTCAGTTCTGTATATATTTGAAAAATGAGGCCTTTGTCAAAGAAATTTACTGTAGATCCCTCCTCCCTCCAGTTTACTGCTTTCTTTCTAATCTTGGTTGTATTGGTTTATGCAAAACCTTTTATATGTAATCAAAAGTATCCATTTTACATACTATAATGCTCTTTATCTCTTGTTGGTCATAAATTCTTTTCTTATCCATAGATATGACAAGTAAATTATCCTATGCTCTATTAATTTGTTTATTGTATCTATAATATCTATATATCTATGTATCTTTATATCTATATCACATAATCTACTCTGTGACCTGCTTTCATTTTATGGGCGAGTTCAACCCATTCACATGCACAGTTATGATTACTGTGCATGTCCCTGCATCCTACCTTCTTCCCATTTATCCTTCTGTCTCTCCTTTTACCCTTTCTTTCCTCAAAAGTATTTTCCTTCTAACCACTGCCTCCCCCAACTTGTCCTCCCTTCTATTAGCCCCACCACCACTCCTTCTCTTATCACTTCATTTTGCATCAGTTCAGGTAAGTCTTTCCAGGCTTTTCTGAAACCATTCTGTTTGTCATTTCTTATAGTACAATAGTATTCCAGCAC